TGGGGACAGGCTACATTAAACAGGGCATTCATGGAGAGGCTAATGTGGAATCCCAAAATCCAGAAAGCAGAGTCAAAACGGCTCATGGAAAACCAGCATCCTAAGGAGAAATGAACCAAGCGCAACAAACAGAAGATGCAAATACGCCCATCAAATGCATTCTCTAGGATACGCAAGGGGACTTTTTAAAGGAATAATAAATTGTCCTAAAAGTAATAAGAGAAATGATCAAATCCTTGAAATAATATTTTTTTGAGACAGGATTTATGGGAAAAGAAAAAATTCAATAAATAGACTGAATAGGAGATACAGCAGAATAGCAAATAATGACTTCAGGGACTGAGCCAAGGAGCCCTTCTAGGGTATAGTACAAAAGGACAGAGAAGTAGAAGGTAAGAAAAGTGGTGTTGTTTTTTTCCTTTTTCATACCAGAGATCAAAAGGAGATGTCAGGAAAGATGGAGTAGCAAGTGCCAGGAATCTACATCTTCACCTTGACAAAATTTTACTGAGAGAATCTGTCTGATGTAACTATATTGGAATTCTGTAGCTATTTGAAGACTTGCAACTTTCAGGGGAAGTGCTGGCCATTAAATTGTTGTTAGTTTCAGCTGTTATCAAGGTAGACTAACTCCCTAGACCCATGGCAGGCAGCTATACCTGTGTCCATTCTTAGACAGGCTTATAGGCTGGGCAGTGTTGAGAGTTTTTATGTAGAATCAAAGGAAAATATGCACAATTAGATGAAGAAGCTATTAAAATATTCCTGTCTTTTTAAACAACATATTGGTGTGGGGCTAGACTCCTTTCATAGACTTCAAATAAAGCAACATATTGCAACAGATTGAATGCAGAAGTAAATGCAGGCCACATAGCAGAGAGATTTACAAACAGGTAAAAGGGCATCACTCACTAAATTATTTTTGTTTTGTAAAGTATAGTTATTGTTTAACAAAAATGTCTTTCATTTTAATGCCTAATGGGTTTATTATTATTTTAAAGAATTAAATATTTTTTGGTTTCTCTGTTTGAATTTCAAACATAATATTGATAGCTATAACCTAAGAAACAAAGCTCTTTGGTGTTCTTAGTAATTTTTAAAAGTTTAATAGTGTTCTGAAACCAAAAAAGTCTAAAAACTGCTGCCCTATAGTGAAGATTACAGTCATCTGGCCCCACCCATGCACATATAACTCTCCACTAGCTTCTTAGTGCCTGACTCTTGTATGTAAGCTGACAGGCAGGCAGTGGTCACCAGATGTTTAAGGAAATCATATTAAGCATATAATACAAAAAAGTAGACACCAATGAAAATAAAGAAAAAGATTATTCAAAGAAAAGAAACTGTCAGATAAATTAATATCGATGTCCCCATGAAAATAAAGGTAGTGTATTCGTTAAACAAGAACAGGGTGCTGTTTTTTTAAAATAAGGAGCATTCATAGGATCAAAAAGTTTTTTGGAAATTAATTACAGAGTAGTAATGAAAAACAATAAAAGGATTAGAAAATAAAGTTGAACAATTCTTTCAAAATCTTGAGCAAAAAGGCTAAGAGATGGAAAATCAAATAGAAAAGATTCTGTCCAGGAAGTTCAATAATCAAAAAATTGGAGTTCCCAGGAAGAGAGAGCAGAGAAAAGAATGGGTAGGAAATCATCAAAGAAGTAATTCAAGAGAACTTTTCTGATTTAATGTCCACTGAGTGCCCGGCACAGTGAATGAAAATGAATCCATACCAAGACACATCATTTTGAAATTTCAAAGAGGATATCCCAAAGCCTGCAGGGGGTAAAATCAGGACTTATAAATACAGAGATCCGAATTCATAACAGCATGGGGCTTCTCAGGATCAACACTGAAGCTAAAGGACAGTAGAACCTCACTTTCACACTTCCGTAGGAAAATTACCAGAATTCCGTACTCAAAGAGTCAGTCAAATGTGAAAGTAAAATAAAGGTATTTTCAGACATGCACTGTCTCAAATACTTCACCTCTCATGTGCCTTTTTCTGCATAAAAAGAATGAACCAAGAAAGAAGAAGATAAGGGATCCAGGAGAGAAGTGAAGGAAAGTCACAGGATGGAGACCCCAAGACAGTAACTACACAGCGGGAGTAAAAAGCAACCTGTCCAGACTGGAACAGGTCTAAATGTTCTAAGAAAAATCTATTTAAGAAGATGAAAATGGTAGAATGTCAGATATGTCTGAATATATTGCAAGAAGATTGCACGCTTGGTGGAAGTTTGGGGTTAAAGTAATCATTGCAAGGAAAAATGAGCAGACAAGCCAGTAACAAACCATCAAACCCAGGAGAAACAGCATTTTGATATCTAAAGATGAGATCAGAAAATGTGAGAGTGCTCTGCAAAAGCTGCTGTTTTTCATAGACTTTGAAGAGCTGTTTGACTATTTAAAACAGTTGCATCTGTAAGTTTGATAAAAATAAAAAGTAAATTAAAAAGAAGACTGTCCCAGGCTCTTGCAGTAGTCTGCAGAAGCCTAACTCCCCCTTCCCTCCCACTTTCACTGTGGCCTGGCAACCTTGGCCTCCTCGCTGTGTTCAGATGCTTGTGGCCTTTGCATTTGCTTCGTATCTGCCTGCAGCGCTTTCCTCGCAGATGTGTACAAGGTTTGTTCATACACTTCCTTTAGATCTCTGTTCTCATATTCTTCTCAGTAAATTCCTGCCCTCCTCAACTTCTCAGTGTGCTTTGCTTTTCACCGTGGCACTTGGATATCATCTGGCATTTTATTTTCTCCACAACTAAGCTTAGTCTTGGCTCTTGTGTCCCGAACACGGCAAACACCCTTGAATGTAGTAAAGGTTCAAAAAATATTTATTGAATGAACAGCACTAAACACACTAATTTAAAAACAAATTCACTGAAAAGGAAATACAAGTGGGTAACAAACATAGATAATCTCAAAAGTTATCAGGAAAATGCAAATGAAAGCAATAGGATAATTTTGTCCATATTAGCAAGAAGTAAAAATACAGATCATAGTATCACTGGCAAGGGTGTAAAAGTAAACTGGTAGTCTTTTGGGATACAATCTAATATGTAGATATTCATTCACATGGGGCACAGATAGGCATGTACGTGCAAGGATGGATCCCCCTGCAGCAGTGTTTATAATAGTAAACAATTAGAAACAACCTCCAGGCCTATAAAAAGAGACTATGTTAAATTACAGCACTCATGGATTCTTTTAACAATGGGCAGCAGGTAAATTGGACAGCTGTATGTTCTATACTGTGATTTCATTTGTGTTTCACAAAACATAAGACCATATTTCCAGATTTGTGATCATATATGAAAATTCTTAGAAAAACATCTGATAGCATACATTGCAAACTTTCATTTTATTGATCTCTAGGTGCTCATTTTTTATTTACATATTTCTTGAGCATGTAGTATGTGTAAGGAGTTGTCCCTACATGCTAGGAATAGAGTAGTGAGCCAGCTAGAAAAAAAGTGCCTGTCCTTGTAGAGCTGATATCCTGGCGGGAAGAAGGAGACAATGAACATAAACAGTAGATACATTATAGTACTCTGAAGAAAAGTAAAGCCGGGTGAGAGACGGGAAGTACACAGTGGGGTGGGAGGGCTCTTGGTATGTTAAACTGCTGTGCAGTGGAGCTGTCTGTGGTAATGACAAGTCCTCTAAATTTGCACTGCCCAATACAGTAAGCCACTAGCCTATGAAACTGTTGAACATTTGATACAAGTTCAGCAGAGGAATGGGATTTTAAACGTTATTTCGTTTAAATAAGTTTAAATGGCCACGTATGCTGATTGATTCCATATTGGTCAATGCATTTATATGGGATGGTCAGGGAAACTCTCACATAAAGCAGCTTTGGAGCTGAGACCTATGTGAAGTGAAGGAGCTAGCCATGTGTTCTATGCCGAGTGGACAGTGGGACCTTAATCTGCTGTAGTTGGAGGCCTGCATGGCTGGAGCAGGACAGGCAAGGGTAAGAGTGGAAGGAAATGAAGCCAGAGAAACAGAAGGGGCCCCACCATGGAAGGCTCTAGTGGCTAGCATGAGACGGCTTCTTCTCTATGAGGTGGGAAGCCATTGCAAAGCTTTGGGCAGACAAGTGAAGTGATCTGAATTTTTAAAGAGTTTCTGGAACTGTCCTGATAATAAACAATGGGGGGTAGGGCAGAAGCAGGGAGAAAGTTAGGAGGCTCCTACTGTAACCCAGAGTGGAAGTGATAGTGAATTAGGGGATAGTAATGGAAGTGTTGAGGTGTTCAGATGAATGGACAGTACTTACTGCTGGATCAGATAAGGGGCACAAGAGAAAGGGAGCTATCAGGAATGGACTTCAAGGGTTTGGGCCTGAGCAAATGAGATAGGGAGCACAGGGAAAGAGAATTTTGGGGGAAGGAATTCAAGAGTTCTGTTTTGGGCACGGTAACTTGGAGATGGATATGTGGGTCCTAGAGCAAATCAAGTCTGAAACATTGCTGATGGCACAAATGGTAAAACTGAAGCTGTCTTACTTTGGGTGCATCATGAAAAGGCAGGGTTCTTTGGAAGAGATGATAATGCTGGGGAAAATAGAAGGCAGCAGGAAAAGAGGAAGACCAAATGCAAGATGGACCGACTCCATAAAAGAAGGTATGGGTCTCAGGAGCTGAGCAGGACTTTTTTGAGGACTGGGCATTGTGGACGCCACTCATTCACAGGGTTTCCACGAGTCAAAGCTGACTCAGTGGCATGCAAAACGCAAGTTGGAGGTGCCCATAGTGAGTTATGCCAAAGTCCTGAAAATGAGTGAAGTTAAACGGGAACTGCAGCCAAAGGGTTTCTTTCTAGAGAACTGAGTAAAAGAAGAGCGTTCACAGATGGTATTAGGATAGTTCTCTTTATATGGGGGCAGAGCAAGTGACCTGTCCTCAGCCTGTTCACCATGAAGATTTTATATGTCTTTAATTATGTGTGGCTCTAAGATTGGGTAATTATTTCTTATTTTATTCACTCTATAGAATGGCTCCAGAACGAGTAAGGTCCCTATCACGAGTTTGTGTCCCACTTGTTACTCTGCCAGATTTTGAACCACTGGTAGAAGCTCTGCTCACCTACCATGGACATGAACCTCAGGAAATGCTCTGGCCTGAGTTCTTTGATGCTGTGAATGAGGCCTTTTTGCTGTAAGTGTCTATCCTCACTCAACCTTGTTTTCCTTTTCTTAGATACCTCAGGGGGTTGGAAATGGAGTTTTCAAATGTTTTTGTCTCAGTATCCACTTCAAGTTCTTAAAAATGGTTGAGGACCCCAATGAGCTTTGTTAACATGTGGGTTATATCTGTCAATATTTATCATATTTTAAATTAAAACATAAATTTAAAAAACATTTGACTTCATTTAAAAATAACAAAAAATTGATGAAATGTTAACACAAATAGCATATTTTTATCAAAAACAATGGCCTTTTCCAAGCAAAAAAGTTGTTTAACAAGAGTAGCATTGTTTTACAGTTTTGTAAATCTCTTTTATTGTCTGACTTAGAAGACAGCTGGGTTCTCCTATATGTTTCTGTATTCAGTGTGATGTGTTATGTTGTCTTGCTTGAAGGATATGAAGGAAATATAGCCTCACGCAGACATGCAGTTGGAAAAGGCAGGAGTATTTGATAGACATCTCAGAACACTATCCTCCTTGCATGCCTCACCAAAATTTGAAAATGTTGGTTTTTTAAAGTTAGTTGCTATGTAGAATATGAAATTATATCAATGAGCTTTTCATAGTGATACTTTAAAACCTACTGGTATGTCTTGTACTTTTAATGGGTCTTTTATCCATGCAGGACTTTGTAGCCCTGTTCATGGCTCATTGGGAAAATACTGGTTCATATGTTAAGGTGAGATTTAAAAAGAGAAACAAAGTTAAATCATTTGATGTTTTTTTAAAAAGGTTAAAACGTACAGTCTTTTTTTCTAACTTCTCTAAACCTCTGTCAGAATTTACCCGGTAAGTCTGAACTTCCTGAGGAGTGTGAGCAGTCATCTTTGTTTCTGTGCGACGCTGAGTAAAAATTCATTTGCAAGCCTGTCTAATAGGATATGTGTGCTTCACCCGCTCGGGCCCTCAGTCATTTAGCCAAGTACACACTGCAGGTTACAGTGGTTTACCCTAACTTACATTTTCCACACTCCAGACAGTTTTCCAGAGTACTGACTTCTAAGTAAAATGCTCTTTGCATTTCACCTTTGCAGCTCTATTCCTGATTTATTTAGTAATGCATTTTATTGAAGAATATGGTCTTAGCATCAGCATTTCCAATCTTTTTCATCGTGTTGAATTAAAAGGAAATGGGAGATTGGCCCTCCGTGTCCTCTGTGAAACCCCATAAAGCTATTTCAGAAATTACTGGCAGGGCAGAGAGATGCTCAGAGAATAGCTACTCCTATTCTACCCGCAGTGCTCAGATGGAAAGCTGAGGGCAGTGGTTCTGTGAGTAGGCCCAAATTCCTCCTTGCTATTTATTTTACTTGTGATAGCACATTCTCCCTCAGCAACTAATAAAATTTATTCAGTTTGGAATATCCATAGGGAACAGACTGTCCAGAAATGCTGGGTGGTCTTCAGCTTGTCCAATTCCTATGGCTTCAGCTCAGCAAGTTCCCTAAGCAGTGGTGTAAGAGCTGGAGCCTCTCCATGGACACTTGCCCGTAGATGGAGCATCCTGGCCACATGCTGACACAGGGAGGCTGATTCAGTCAGTCAGTGCAAAGTTCCACCCCCACCCCCAGTGCCTGCCTTCCTCCAGCCCTTTGAGCAGTTCCCCAAATGCGCTGCGTGGTTGTTTAGAAACCACATACTTTCTTTGACCGATGTGCCCTGCCCTGTGTTTAGCCTTCCAACTATCTGTTTCCCACAATACACCAGTGGAATTTCATTTGTTTTACAATTGGCTGGGTATCTTTGACCTTGGCTTCCAAACACAGTCATGTATTTTCAGAAACGGGTTGCCTGTATTCTTCTAAACAGCAGATGTTTTCCCCTCTGTTGGAGTTTAGATAACCTAGAGGAACTTCTTAATTTCTTGGCCTAAATGTCAGACCTAACTTGTTGAGTCTATCCCTGGGCTTGCCATCAAAGCCATCTGCAGACAGTAGAGTGCGTAGAACCTTTCTGGGAGGGCTGCTGAAAGCCTTTCACAAGTCTCTGGAGTATAAGTAATTCCACATGAATGTCCTCCAAGGCAAATCTAAAGCCATTGCTTCAGAAATATTGAGAAGTTTGACTGCATGGAGTATTTTTTTCTATACACTGGAATAAATGGGCCAGTGAACAAATGAGAGAAAGAATGGGTGCATGGCTGGCCAATAACAGACCTTATGGGGCAACTGTATTAAATAGGGAAATAGGGTGACTTGTAGACCGTAACACTTCTGAGAGTTAAACAGGGTGCCTTTTATTATTGTGCTGGGATAACACATATAAACTTGCCCAGGCACAGTGGGACGGATTTAAGTGGGTCCAATGCCTGAGATACGCTTAGCACAGTGCCTGGCACACAGAGTAAATAGTCAATAACTGTTAACATGTTGCTGTTATTGACTTTGATAAAAATTGTTATTTTTTATGATGTTTTATTAAGTTTTCTCAAGCTTATATCTTTTCTTCCTAATGAAAATATCACTGAACTAAGGCCAGATGTAAGCTAAATTTCCATTGCCGAAAGACCTAAGAACACAGCCTCCAAAGATGCCTTAAGAAAACAAAAGAAATTAAAGAAAAGGCTGACCTTCAACAAAGCTTCTAGTTCTGTGTTTTTTCAGCTCAGATAAGGAAAAACAGGCTTTACATGCTGTCAAATAATGTAGGTGAATGTCTAAGTGAATAAAGACTAGTGAAATACCGAAAACAGAAAGTTAGCCAAGTGGAAGCAACTGAAACTCCCTTTTCTATTTATTCATTTATTGAGACTTCGTGACTTTTTTCTTTAATCTTAATAAGGCATGATCATAAAATTAGTCATTGAAGAAGTTTACTTTTCAAGTAAAAACCTGGCGATATTGGTTGTAACAGACATTCCAGTATGTTTGGGCTTTGGCATTTCTTCACTTGGTGTTGCTGCTCTTTGCTTTGAGAAGTGACTTTTCTGGAGGTATAAGTGACAATGATGGCACAGTTTCCTCAATTCAGTATACCAGCATGGGCAAAAGTAGATTTACAGTTGTACATATGGAAAAATATGTAATAGAATAAATAATAGAATAAACTTGAGCGTACTCACAACTGTAAACCTACTTTTGCCCACCCTTGTACACGCTAGATCAGGTTTTAATGGAAGTATGCCTTTGAGATGTGATGGCAGGTACTCTTTCCAGTTCCATGGAATTAAGTAGTTCTCCAGAAAAGCTGGTCCCAGTGTTTCTGGGCTCCTCTAGCAGACAGAGCAGCCCTTGATGTCTCTCTGGTTTGGAAAAGTGAAATACTGCAGGTGTTTGTCTCTCTGAGGAGGTTCCTTCTCCCTGCCTCTCGTATAGCTTTAAACACATTCCCCACAGAAGGCACCGCCCTCATCAGGAACCTTTCTTGCAAAGAACTGGATCCCACATTCTGGTTTTTTATTGTAGCTATAAAAACATTTGGAGCTATTAGTTGGACCAGTTTCTTTACCTACTACCTCTTTTTGAAGAGGATGGGACCAACAGCCGCCTCACTAAGTTGAGTACTTGGGGGAAACAAAGCACAGTTTTCTAAGTGTCAAGGGGCATTTGTCTAGAAGATTCAACTAACAGGAGATGTTGAACAGGGCAGTGTCCTGTCCAGGCATCTTCTGCTTTGTGTCAGAAATTATTACTAAAACTCAGATTTTCTGCCTAAAAACACTCACTAGGAGCCTACTCCTCAGCATTTTAAAGGACAAAATTATAGTAAGTTACATATAAGTCTCACATACCCTATCATTTTTTTACAACACAGTTATAATGCGGGAAATTCCCTGTTATTATTAGGTAGGAATTTTAGAGAGCCAAGGTTTTATCTTATCTTGTTTCCCTTGAATTTGTCATTTTGATCAGTATGCAGACTGAATGGATAGAACAAGTGTGGTTAGATGAGAAAAGGGACAGCCTTAGAGTTTCTATGACTAACACATGTTGAATAGAATGAAAATTTTCAGTGTCCTTAAAAACATTTTTTTCTTTTAACCAGCATATTTTGAATATCCCTTAAGGGATACATACCCCACTTTATTATTATTATTATTATTATTATTATTATTATTAATTTCAGAGAGAGAGAGGAGGGAGAGAGAGAGAGAGAAACATCAATGATGAGAGAGTCATTGATCAGCTCCCTCCTGCACACACCCCCTACTGGGGATCAAGCCCGAAACCTGGGCATGTGCCCTGATTGGGAATCAAACTGTGATCTCCTGGTTCATAGGTTGATGATCAACCACTGAGCCACACCGGCTGGGCCAGCTTAATTTTTTAAAATTTTACAACATATTCCCTAATATGAATAGACCATAATATTTTCAGCTGTTTGCCAATGCGTGCATTCAAGTTGTTCTAACTGTATCTTTATAATATTGGGGCACTAAATACCCTTCAGCTGCTTTTATTTCTGCCAGGCAGATTCACAAAAGCATGATTATTAAGACCAAGGATATGTGTCTTTTATACTTTATTAGGTGGTACCATGTGACTTAACCAAAAGGGCAAAGCCATTCCCTGACCCGTCTCTGAGAACACCTGGCCCCTGTATTTACTTCAGCATTGCTGTCATGAGGGTGAAAAGTGACATCTCCTTGATGTGTTAGTTTACCTTCCTTTACCACTAACAGGGTTGAAAACCTGCATATTTGTATTAGCCATTTGTATTTCTTCTTCTGGAATTTGCCGTTTTCCTAGTTTTTTTAAGATATAATTAACATATAATGTAATTTCCTTTATTTCAAAACCAACCTGGTACACATTAGAACACTGTATGTAATGCAATTGTGTTGGCCCAACCAAATGCTGGTATGAAAGCATATTAAGGTTGCTTTGGTGATTTCTTCATCCAAGATGGATTATAAAGAGTTAAGTCTTTGATGTTTTAGAGCAAAATAGATTTTATTGATAATAGGTGATTCACATATTAAACATTGGATCCATAAATGTAATCACTCACAGAAGTCAGTAGAGTGCAC